GTTCTTGCGTTCAAACCAATGACCTGACCGTACAATACGACAAATTATACGATTCCATATACAGTCATAAGAAAAAACAGACCCAAACGTGTAGTACTCCTATTTTGAGACAAAATTCTAGTGAAAATAGTGGTTCCGGTAATTCATGCAATGGTTATGGGAATGGAAAACATACGCGAACTCCGAGTTCTGGCTGTCCGGCCACTCCTAACGATGAACAAAGTCTCGAAGCCTTTCCTTTCGACGGAGCCATCAGTCAAGACATTTTCGATATCGACGGACACGTTCTCATACGTGACAAACTTCTCGTTAGACTTCAACAGATCATCGGATCCAATAAGGTTTGTCACAACTATTATCTTTGCTATTCATTTGCCAAACTATTATTTAGATTAAGCGATATTTCTATCATATCCACAAATAGTGTGTATACTCTGAGTCCTATACTAACGAAGCTATTGATAAGAAATTATAGTACAATATTACTTTTATTATAAAAGTTTTATATATTGCATGCATTAATTTATGTATTGTTAATAATATTCTACAACTATAGTTACTCATAGTCTCAAATAATTGCTGATGTTAAACCTATTGCATAGACTCAGCATTACACATGTTAATCATATGCCATTGGTTTAACATGGGTAATGTTAAGACTATGAGCTTGCTGAGACAAAATTATATGTTTAAATTCTAGAGGAGATGTGTAGCTATATTTAGTACAAAGACACTTATGACTTATCAAACAAGAAAAAAGTTTTTCTATTTCAATAAATTTTTTGAAAAATTTGTTTTTCAGTTTTTCAACAAAAAAATACTCTAAATTTTAATGAATCATGATACAATTTACAGAATATGTAGACATGGGTTAGTCATAGGGTTACATTCTTAGAATGTGAAAACAATCAAATTATCTTGATTAGTTCTAAAGTTATACGTAGATTTATTTCTGAAAGGTCTCTTAGTCAGTGAATACAATGTTACTAACTATTCATTCAATGATAGACTAATCATGTTTAAATTTCAATTCTTAAGTATTATTTGATTTGATTATTAGTGTTTAGAATAAATTGTCATATGTTTATACAGATCTCAATATTTGCTATTAATTGCATTTCAATACAATTATATTGACATTAAATAACCCAAAGCTATGTTAATAACAATTAATATATAAGTTTAGCTTCAAAAACAATGTTTGTTTGATTTAAAATTGTTTGTTTGATGATTGATTTGAAAATGTGATTACACTATAACTTGTCCAACAATTGACGCATAAATTATTGATTATTTTGACCAAATGTTTTGAACATTGAATTAATGATAGTTTTTGAATGTATTTCAACCTAAATTGATTGATTAGAATGAGATCGAGAACTTGAGACGAGAACTCTATTTGGCGCGTTTGGCACTCTGTCAACAAGTGAAGTATTGCAATGCCATCAATGATGAGGTGATTGTCCAACTAATGCATCCATTATTCACTTAACTTGATTTAATGCATTCCTTTACACAGCCATCAGCTCTGAATAACGGATCCAATTGTGTGGACTATATGTCAGAAAATGCGTCAATGGATTCGTGGGTGGATGTGAT